GGGTTGCATCACTGTGAATTGACTAGCTTCCCAAAGGGTGCAGTCACGTTCTTTGTGAGCCATGATTTTGCTGGGCACCTCTCTTAATCTTTCTGAAGAGCTCTATGTTTGTCAGCAACCTGATACTTTACAGTAGAATATATAACATTTCACTCTTTCTCCATGCATATGTTCAGAATGCTACACATTATTTTTCACGACAAAATTGCTTAGCCTAACTAGATGTCCATGAAATGAAATGTACAAGGTCTGGTTTACAATTTGAACCCTGGGATTAGACTGTTAAATTTAATAGGAACACTATCATTCCTTATTCTGTTATAAATTATGGGTGGGGTACTTGAACCTGGGGCCTTCACACTGAGCTACAACTCCAGCCCTTTTAATTTTTCTTTAAATTCTGAGGCAGGGTCTTGCTAAGTCACTAAATTGTCCTTGTTGGCCTTGAACTTGTGATCCTCCTGCTTCAGCCTCCCAGAGTGCTGGGATTACAAGGATGCATCATCGAATTGGGGTCCTGTTGGAATTTCTTTCCAAAAAATTTCATTACAATTTATTTGCATAAAATCCACAGAGGATCCCAGCAAGATGGAGCATACCTGTAATCCTAGCTACTTGGGAGGCTGAGGCAGGAAAATCACAAATTTGAGGCCAGCCTGGGCAACCTTGTCAGAACCTGTCTCAAAATAAAAAAATAAAGAGGTCTGGAGAAAGAATTTGGTGATAGATGCTGGTGAGCTTGATGTCTAGCACTAGAAAAAAAAAATCCTAAATTAATAAAGAGTATAAAAGTATACAGAATAGGAGATCCTAGAAGGAGAAGTACACATATGAAATAGAAGTTGGACTTTGAAAAGTCAGTGTGGTGCTGTTAATTTATCATCATGGTGTTTATCTGCTGTTTTTCTGTGCTGTGCTGCTGGGGGTCAAACCCAAAGATTCATGAAAGCTATCAAATGCTCTGCCACTAGCACTGGGCATGGTGGTGCATGCCTGTAATCCCAGCACTCAGGAGGCTAAGGCAGGAGGATCATTGCAAGTTTGAGACCAACCTGGGCTACAAAGCGAGCTCAAGGCCAGCCTGAACGGCATAGCTAGACCCTGTCTCAAAAAACAAACAAACAAACAAACAAAAACCAAATGCTCTGCTACTGAGCATACCCCAACCCTTTGCAATGTTTGTGGGTTTCTTTTCTTTTCTTTTCTTTTCTTTTCTTTTTTTTTTTTTTTGTCTTTTTGAAACAGGGTTTCACTATACAATTCAGGCTGACCTTGAACTTACTTTGTAGCCCAGGCTGCTCTCAAACTTACAATGATTCTCCTGCCTCAGCCTCCTGAGTGCTGGGATTACAGGTGTGTGCCCCCATGACAGGTCCTTTGCAATCTTCAAAGTTAACTCTAGACTATTTAAGCATCTTTACTACTTGGAAAAGCCAGCACTCTCCTATCCTTTCAGACTGTAACTTTTCATCGCAGGACAAAGGCAAGAACAATATAAAATTTTTTGTTTTTAATATTTGAAGTAATGATTCACACTTTTTTGATTAGCTGCATTGAAATACAATTTACTTAGAATAATACAAGGTTCTTTGAGACAGCATGTAGTTCAGGCGGGCCTTGAGCTCTCAGTGATCTTTTTGCCTCAGTCTCCCCAGTGCTGAGACTACAGGAGTGTACCACGCTCAGCCTGATACTTGCACATTGTGATTGTGCAATTCAGTGTAACCTGGCAAATGTCTGTAGTTATGTAACTCCACTACAGTCATGGTCTGGGACATTTCTGTAACCTCTGAAGTTCACTTGTGTAACTCTGGAGTAACTTCCCATTGTTTCTCCAATCTTTGGCAAAGTCTTCTTTTTCATTTTTTTTTGCACGGGGACTCGAACTCAGGACCTTGCATTTGCCAGGAAATGAAGATGTTGATTTCTTTTTTTTTTTTTAAATTTTTAATTTTCATTTTTTTGCTACCCGGAATTGAACTCATGACCTTGCGTCTGCCTGGCAGGCACCAAAGTCTTTTCTGACTTCTATCACAGCAACTTTGCCTTTTCTAAAATTTCATATAAATGGACTCATAACTTAAGGAGTCTCCTCCTTTCCTTTCCTTCCCTTCCTCTTTCATTCCTTCTTCTGTGGTTTGGGGACCAACCGCAGGCCTCTGCTCATGCTAGGCACATGGACCTCCAATGAGCTGCATCCTCAGCACTCCTCACCCTGATTTTCTCAACAGAGTCTTTTGAAGAAGAAATATTTTTAAATTTTGCTGACATTCAATTCACTGTTTTTTTCATTTTGCATTTCATTTGTGTATGACCTAGTTACTCTCTGTTTAACCCAAATGCATTAAGATTTCCTCCTTATGTTTTATTCTAGAAATTTTATAGTTTTAGTCTTTCATTTGGTCTATGACCCATTTCAGTGAGGCAAGGGATTTTGAATCTCAAATTAAAATATTTTTTAGAAGGCAGTTTGAAACCCACATTGCTGCACAAATTTGAAAATAGACAGAGTTTATCTTTTCTTCCAGTCCAGTGAAATTGAAGGAGATGCAAATGGAATTGTTTATTATTTTACCTACTTCTGGAAGCCTAGAAATTTGTTACTGTTCATCATTGTAACTTGTGTCCTCTTCTTTATTTCTAATATTATTAATATCTGTGCTAATTTTATTATTCAAGCGTTTTATATCTTAACTTTCTGTTTGCTTCTTTGGTTTCTGATAGGGATATATTAAAATGTTCCATTGAATGACCTTTTTTTTGCTTGCTTTCTGAGGCAGGGTCTTGCTATATAGTTCAGGCTGGCCTTGAACTCACTATGTAGTCCAGGCTGGCCTGGAGCCTGCAGTGATCCTCCTGCCTCAACCTCCCAGGTGCTGGGATCAGAGGCATGAGACACCATGCCAGATACAAATATTATATTTTTTGACTTGAAAAAAATTGCTATTTTATTAAGCCAACTTCACCAGTGTATTTCATTTTTATTGTTTCTTCTATTTCATACTTTATCGTTGTTTTTGAAAACTAGCATAACTGTGATTTAGACATGTGAACTATGATCATCCTTTGAATGACATTTAAGTACATTTAAATTCTGGGTTGAGACTGACAGTGGCAGTGCTCTAAGGGTACATCTCTCCTTACCTTCTGTGGGTCATAGCATCAATTTAATGGTCCCTGTTAGTAATGAAATGTAATGGACTAGGAAATATTAGAGCATGTAATGTTTAGTTCTGTGAAACTTTATGTCAGTATGTGCAAGTATACGTGGATATATACATGCTATTATGTATATATTCCATGGTTATAACTGGCCTATTTACAGATCAAGATCAACAATATATGAAATGGTAATAATTTGTATTAAATCATGTTTGGGTTAATGATAAGATTCTTATGCCTTTTCCAGAGATTATGCAAAGTAATCTATTCAGTGCTTTATAGACTATAAAACCCTTGATGGAGAATCTAGTGGCTAGCAGATGCTATTTCTTTTATGTGGAAGATGTAATTTTTTTCTTATAGTGGTTGAACATTTTATAGCCCCTAGTAAAGATAATATTCTAGAAATATCTATCCATGGCGACCTTTATAAGGTTGAGTAATGCTATTACTCCTCTAGTTGTGATTCTGAATGGCTTCATGGATAGAAATGAAACTGGGTTTTTGATGTTTTTTTTTTTTTTCCCCGTACCGGGCATTGAACTCTCGACCTTGCACTTGCCAGGCAGGCGCTGTGCCGCTGAGCTAAATCCCCAGCCCCGATATGACTGTTAAACAGGTGCTATGTAGCACACACTGGCCTTGAACTTTGCGTGTGGCTGAGATTGGCCTCAGACTCTTCATGTTATTGCCTCCTGAGTACTGAGATTGCAGAAGTGCACCACTACGTACTGTTGAAGATGTGGACATGTAAAATGATATTTAAATTAGTTGAATAACATTTTCTATGGTCCATTATATTAAAAGAATTTAATGTCCTGCGGAAGGGAAAGCTTGCAGGGCTTTTTGAAACTCTTCCAAAGCAGGTGATGATATAAAACAAAACAATTAGGAAAAAACACGTGCATGACTTAAAAAGTATGTGAAGATAGGTGCAAAGGAAGGTCTAAGATTAAATAGATAAAGACGGGAAAGTATTAAACGTTATGTGTATTTATTTATTTGTAGTATTGGGAGATGAACCCAGGGCCTTTGCACTGAGCTACATCTCTATTCCTTCTCTTTTAAAATTTGAGAGACGGTCTTGCCCAGGCTGTTCAAAATTGGGATCCTCTTGCCTCAGCCTTCAAGGGTGGTAGAATAAAAGGCCAACACGTCCTGCTGTGTAGTCACTTTTAAGTTAGACTCTTTCAGGGTATAGAGTATCTTCCCTCAACTTGTACCCCCAATGTCTAGCACATTGCTTGGTATACAGCTGGTAGTTGATAAACGTTTCCTAAACTTTAAATCAACGGGGAGGTAGAAGTTTAGAAAGTAAAGACTGAGTCACATTATCTCTCACAATATAGAGGAAGTAAAGATTTGGAGTTTCTATTTCTTTCTTTCTTTTTTTTTTTTTTTTGGTACCGGGGATCGAACTCAGGAACTTGCACTAGCAGGCGTTTATGCCACTGAGCTGTATCCCCAGCCCCTGGAGTTTCTATTTCTAATCCTTATCTGAGGGGCTATCTCCGATTGGTTTATATTTTACAATGGTCATTTTACGTTTCACAAATTGACCGAGGCCAAGTTTCATAGCCTTTTCGGGGTAAGGCTATCATTTTCTAAAATCAACCCGTGGCGCCATCTTCCGGAGCTGTAAGGAAACTCGGGATATAAAATCCGCACAATCCGCGTCGAAGCTCTTTACGCTCCTCCCATTTATTTTTTTGGAAGCTCTCTGGACGCATGCGCTTTTGACGGGAAACCGAGCCAACGAGAGACTACATTTCCCAGAAGGCCACGCCACAGAAGAATGAAATCTCGCGCGAGAATGCGGTGGAGGCGGCTGCGCGAAGTGGGTGGAGGGGGGCGGGGAAAGTGAGGAGGAAGAGGAGGAGGTGCGGTCCCACAATACCCGGCGGGAGGGCGGGTAGGCGGTTTGGATCCGCGCTGTGAGGTGCTCGGAGCCGCGGCGGACCTTGCTGCCTCTGTCTCTTTAACGCGAGAGGAAGCGATGCAGAGGGGTGGAAAATGGCAGAGCTGCAGATGTTACTAGAGGAGGAGATCCCGTCTGGCAAGAGGGCGCTGATAGAGAGTTACCAGAACCTGACCCGGGTGGCGGACTACTGCGAGAACAACTACATACAGGTGAGGGGCGCGGGCCGGGCCGGGCGGGGGACCCGCTCGGCGCCGCGGGGAGCTTCCCCCGCCTCA